ATTTGTATTTGGTGTCAAAGTTTGTCCCAACATCAATTTTAAAAATTTTATATTAATTTGTCTCCAAAAGAGAAGCATTTTACTATAGAAAATGTAAGTAAAAAAAAAAATTATCATTTGATTTTAAGCTAATAACTTTAGCTAGCCCACCCATTGAAAAATTTCTGGTTCCGCCCTTGTATATATATATATGTATTAGTACGTAGTAGTAGAAACTAGTCATCTTGTACGAGGAAAAATCAAACTAGCTTTTTATGTCCATGTCCATGGGATCAAAAAATATCACTCCCTTTATCCTCTTCATCATCTTCCTTATTTCATCTCAATTTTATTCTTGTTCCTCCGCACAAACTTGGATCAGAGCTGGTTACTGGTACGCCGGTAGCGAGTCTCCCATACCTGACATCAACTCTGCCTTGTTCACTCATCTTATTTGTGCTTCTGCTGATCTGAATTCCTCCACCTACCAGCTCTCCATCCCTTTCTCTCAAGAGTCATCCTTCTCCATCTTCACCAGTGTCGTCAAGCGCAAAAACCCATCAGTCATAACACTCCTATCTATCTGGAATGGACAAGCTGCAACAGCTCAATCAATTTTGGGTCAGAAAGTTAACTATTCAGTCTTGTCCTCAATGGTCAACGAATCTTCTAACAGAAAGTCTTTCATTGAGTCTTCAATCAAAACAGCAAGGCTTTATGGCTTTCAAGGTATAGACTTGCTTTGGCTTTGGCCTAACACAGCCTCTGATATGATCAACATGGCAAAATTATTGGATGAGTGGCGAGCTGCTGTGAATTCTGAGTCAAGAAACTCCAGTGACCAGTCACGGTTGATATTGACAATGGCCATTCGTTATTTGCCTGCTTTCGAATCGTTGAGTTACCCGATTGAATCTATGAAGAGGAACTTGGATTGGGCACATGTTATGGCATATGACTATCATCTGCCTTCTAAGGAGAATGTCACTGGTGCTCATGCTGCTTTATATGACCCGTCAAGCCATGTTAACACCCACTATGGTATAAAGCAATGGCTAAACAACTCATTTCCTGCTAGCAAACTGGTTTTGGGTTTGCCTTACCATGGCTATGCGTGGACACTTGTGCACCCCAAAGACAATAATGGAGTTGGGGCACCTGCAGCCGGCATAGCTGAGACGAAAGACGGATCCATGAGCTATACGTACATCAAGCGGTACATTCGAAGCTACGGAGCTCCCATAGTGTACAATGCTACTTATGTTGTGAACTATTGCATCATAGGGTCGAGTTGGATTGGTTTTGATGATGTGGAAGCTATCAGAACTAAGATTGCATATGTCAAGGAGAAGCAGCTACTTGGTACCAATGTGTTTCAAGTCACCAATGATGACGATTGGGCGCTTTCTCGGGCAGGTTGGCCGAAGTGATTTTTTATGCTCTGTTTTTGACATGGCATAAAACTCAATTTTATATCCTGAAGGAAGTTTAATTTTGACAGCAGGCTATCTGCATAAATCAACTTATTTTCTAATGGAGATCCATTTATTCTACTTCTAGCTGGTTTAGTAAATGACAGTTCAAGAGGAAGAAAATGATCAAGAAAACAAGCGGCGGTTATTGCTTATAGTTTTGCTGCCAATTACTTTGATCATAATCCTCATAGCCTTCGTGGTGTGTTACTTACAAAGAAAATTGTTGAAGACAAAAGGTTATTTTTCTCACTGTTATTGTTTTTTTCGAATAGCAATTAGACAAAGATAAATCCTCTTTTCGAATTTACATCAAGAGTTTTGCATTTGCATTTTCACTTTTTATATTTTTTCCTTCTGGTTTCAGGGATGATTATTCTTGGGAATTCAAGGTCTACTAATACATCAGATCTTAACAGTGATCCTCCAACTCTGCAAGCATTCAGCTTTTCCAATATCAAAGCGGCAACAAATAACTTCTCAAGTGAAAACAAGCTTGGAGAGGGAGGGTTTGGTCCTGTTTACATGGTAATATTTGCTACCTTATCTAACATAAGTTGACACTGTGGGAACTGGGATTTAATACTTGTGGTTGTATGTGTGCCCTTGTGTGTAATCTGCTGCTACTTTTAAAACAACGAGATGTACATATCAATAAAAAACTCTTTACCTGAACTATTTCCTGCTACCAAGAAAAGGGAACCAAAAAAACTTTAGGCTTAAAGCTGTTTCTATGATCATTGGCTACTAATTCCCCTCATGCTGAACCAAAAGCTTATCAACAACTGAAAGCAGAGTCACCTTCACCTTGTGTTAATTAAGTGGTACATTCTGGTGAACAGTGAGAGTGATACCATTTGTAGATTCATCTTTTGATCAGATATAAATCTGGATTTTCTTTTTACAAAACCATACTAACTTAACTAACCATGGTTTTCTTCAATTTTTCAAGGGTAAATTGCGAGGAGGACAGGAAATCGCAGTGAAAAGACTTTCGAAAACGTCAACTCAAGGACTTGAGGAATTTAGAAATGAGGTTACACTTACTGCAAGACTACAACATGTAAATCTAGTTCGAGTTCTTGGATTTTGCACTGAGAAGGAAGAAAAAATGCTGATCTACGAGTACATGCCCAACAAAAGCCTGGACTTCTACCTTTTTGGTCTGCAATTTTTCATTCGTCCTGTTATGGTTGAGAGTGCAGGCTAGCATAACACAACACTTTTGCATTCTGTAAGTTTCAGTGGGTCTTAACATCTCCTTTAAGAGGTAAAGATGGGGGTGTTAAACTCATTGAAACTCTCCAAATAGTTAGACAAGCATGTTCTTGAGGACTAAGCCCACACTACTGTATATTAAGCAAACAAAAATCACTTGTTAAGCCATCTAAGCTTATGGTGCAGAAACCTGTGACTTTTAATTTGTCTGTCTCTTGCTCCTTTGCCTACCTCATTGGTCCTGAATTTGATATCTTGCAGATCCTATCAGACGGCATCTTCTAGACTGGACAAAGCGTGTGCACATCATTGAAGGGGTTACCCAAGGACTCCTATATCTTCAAGAATACTCCAATTTTACAATTATTCACCGAGATCTGAAAGGTAGCAACATTTTACTTGACCACGAAATGAATGCTAAGATATCAGATTTTGGAATGGCTAAACTTTTCAGAAAAGATGAACTTGAAGCGAACACAAGCCGGATTGTTGGAACATAGTAAGTAAACTGCCTCTTTTTGGTTATTCACAGACACACATGCTCATATCCTTTAATACTTGTTGTGGTATGCAATGCAGTGGCTATGTTCCTCCTGAATATGTAAGAAAAGGTATATACTCTACGAAGTACGACGTCTACAGCTTTGGGGTTCTACTTTTACAAATGATTAGTGGAAGGAGGAGCACATGTTACTATGGTCCGAACGAAAACTTGCACCTCTTGCAATATGTAAGTTCCATAGCTGTCTATGATTCTTTCACCACTAATGTAAACTATTACTTAGATCTAAACTATATTTGAAGTAACATTCAAATTATTTCAGGCATATCTATCATGGAAAGAGGACAAGGGAAGAGAATTTATTGATCCATTACTGGATGATTCTTATTCTTCTTGTAAATTATCGAGATGCTTGCAAGTAGCTCTATTATGTGTCCAGGAAAATCCGGAGGATAGGCCTACAATGTTGGAAGTTTGTTCCATGCTCAAAACTGATACTGAACCCATTCCCACTCCTACAAAGATGGCTTTCTCAGGAAATAGAAGTATGGAAAACATATCTACATCGCAGAAAGGAAGTTGTTCAATTAATGATGCAGAAATTTCCGAATTGCAACCCCGATGAAAATGCAGGCTCAGAATAGGAGACATTAGTTTTTCATTTTCAGTGGTTGAGTTCTTAGGCTCAAGAATGTGGGTGGTCATATACTCTATGAAGTATACAAGATTTTAGCAACTTTGTATTCTTCATCTGGAGGCCTACATGTTCTAAACATTACAATATTTGGTTGAATTAAAAATTTGCAATTCCTGTGCCGAGAGAAGGGAGGGAACTGATGAGGCAAGTCATTTGAACATTGAACTAGTGGTTATAGGCTTAGGCCAAGGAGAGGATATGCCAAATTTTTTGTTTTGTTTGTACGAAATTCTTTTATACAACAAAAACAAAAACTGCAAGAAAAAAAAAATTCAAATCCAGCCTGCACTATTCCCAGACAAACACAACTGAACATGAAAAACAACAGAATAATTCCAAACGAAAAGCACCACCAAATGAGAAGTATTAGCATTTCTGTCAGAAGTTAGAGGGGTAAACAATGGCCTCTCCTAACAACCACCTTCATCATTGATTTCGACCGTTATAAAAATTAGTGACGGCAATTAAGTTAAGACAAGTGGTTTAAAGTAACATTATATGGTATGTTGTCGTTCTAAGGTTGGTTTTAAAAAACATTTGCTTGTGAAGCCTGTGTTGTTATGATTGGATCTTCTGCTTACTCGTGACTTCCCTGTCCAAGCATTGATCATCTCCACAAGCATACATCAAATGTAGAGACGACCACAAAATCCACAAAATCAAACTTTGGACACTTGATAATATAATATTCACACTGTTGTAAATAAATGACTATTTAATTTTAGAATTAACTAAATAGAATGTATATATATATATATATACATATAAGTTGAATGCTACTCTCTTGTTTTTAGTTCTACAACACAACACTGCTCTGAATAAGTTATAACGGACGGCTTAATTTCTAGAATAGAATAGATAGTACTAGTAGCAGTCAAAACAGCGACAATTCTTAACTCGAAATTACTTAAATTACATACAACCACTTTCTGGATTATATAGGCAAGAATTTTAACGTTTTACTTAACCCCTTCCATCATTTTTATATGCATTCTTATTTCTTTAATGCACGCTGTGGTGGATAAATACAAAAACTATACACCAAATACGTTTCAAGCTTCGAATAATATATAGCATACAGCCCTTCCTAGTTACCACTGGGTAGTCAGTCTACTTTTCTCACAGCCTAGAAATGGCAAGCCTCAATGACTTGGTGCATATTCTTTTGCTTTCATGTTCCTTGATGATCTTCAACACTGGCTGTATGGCAGACTCGCTTTCGCACCCTCCTCCCCCTGTGAAGTCGGCCTATTATCCTTCATGGTTGTCAGATGATTTCCCACCTTCAGCTATAAACACATCATTCTTCACTCACATCTTCTATGCCTTTCTTGTGCCAAACGATGTCACTTTCAAATTTGACTTGTCAAATTCAACAGCTTTGCTTCTCTCCAATTTCACCACCACCCTCCATCACAAACATCCACCAGTGAAGACCCTCTTGTCCTTAGGTGGTGGCGGAGATGACCCAAAACTACCTAAAATCTTTGCTCGCATGGCCTCGGAGCCCTCCTCACGTTCACATTTCATACACTCTGCCATAGAGGTTGCACGTAAGTTTGGGTTTGATGGGCTGGATCTTGATTGGGAATTCCCTCAAAGCCCAAAAGAAATGAAGGACTTGGGCCACTTGCTCAAAGAATGGCGCCACGCACTCAAGAAAGAGGCTAAATCCACAGCCCGCCCTCCTCTCCTACTCACCGCCGCCGTCTACTTCTCGGTCGACTTCTTCTTGGCCAACGTCCGCCGCTCCTACCCCATGCCGCACATGAATAAATACTTGGACTGGATTAATGCAATGTGTTTCGACTATAACGGGGCTTGGAGCAATACCACAGGGCCCAATGCAGCATTGCTTGACCCGAAGAGTAACGTAAACTCCATACACGGGCTTAAGTCATGGATCAAGGCCGGGATACCCTCAAAGAAGCTAGTTATGGGCTTGCCACTCTACGGCCGGACATGGGAGCTCAAAGACCCAAATAATCATAGTATTGGGGCTACTGCTGTTGGGCCAGGCCCAGGAGGTGGGCATGACGTGGACACTATGACAGTATATTCTTTTAACGGATCTTCATGGGCTTCGTTTGATGATGCGTTTACTACAATCTCCAAGATAGGGTATGCTCAAGCCCTTGGGCTACGTGGATACTTCTTTTGGGCCCTCACATATGATAGCGACTGGAAGATTTCGGCGCATGGTAAATTCACCAACTTTTTCTTGATGATAATTAAGATTCTTTTCATTAATTTTAAACTTAGTTTCCAAAATAATTCATTCTTAATATGTACATTTTCTTAAACTACAGCTTCAAATTCATGGATTCTCGACGAATGAGAAGAGTGTTTACATGGGTTTCGTTCTATTTTGTGGGAGATTTCAGCCATCTAAGATGAAATTCCCAATTGATGATTATATAGAAACTCGCCACTATTTTGTGTTTAATATATATAAAGCATCGATTCATTGAGTGACTAGTGATTATTGAATTGAACCCAATTTACTTTTATTTTATGTCTAGTAGAGGATAAATTTGAGTAGGTTGGAGATTTCTATTTTACATTATGAAAGGAAAATAAATGTACGATTGTTTGTGTACAATAATAACTAGGCTGACAACTTAAATGCGCGGCCTGCATGTACGTGCCCGTGTTATCAAATTTTGAAGTCATAGTTATTGAACTTGATGGGTAGCCAGATTCAACTCCTTATTTTGATTTCGATTATGGATTGGTTCATCTCAATCAATTCAAAGAATCACGAATGTTTAAATACTCCATCCATCCATGATAGTCTTTCCTCCTCCTTTTTTCCCTTTCCTATCCAAAGATTTTAGAATGCATATCATTATTTTTATATTAAAAATTCTGTGCAACAATTTTATCAATTGAAGCTGCAATTCACAGCAGCTCAGAGAAGAAAACCACAAATTAAATAATACGGGCAGTGGAAAATAAACAGAGTGCAAAACTTTTTTATATAATTAGACACTCGCAAAATTTTCTCATCACAAAAACTGCAGCATTTCTCATGAGAGCCAGCTCTCCAAACCACCCCCTCGAAGAAAAACGCAAGCGCAAATCGTTTGTTAGTTAAAACCATAGCTGGAATTCTTGCCAACCCCTGCAATTCGATCAAACAGACCAAAGTCAAGTCACAAATGTAGATCTAAACCATTCTTCAAGTTTGAAAATCAACGATGCAATATAAATTACAACATCCACCCCCAATAAATGGGAAGAAAAGAAAGATATAAAAATAGGAGAATTCTTATACCTTCTTATAGGTCAGCAGTGTATTCTAACAGGAGGATGCCAAAATTAGCTTTGCTTGTCTCTCATCCATTCAACAAAATTATCAATAATCACAGGCCATGCTTGATCCGAATCATAGTTTTGAAGGTCCGGAAAACTTATCTGCCAAAAGTAAAGATTCATTGAATTAAAACAACTCAGTCACAGAGAGAGAGAGACAAGGAAAAAGAGGGGGGGCGCGGAGGGTGTGTTGGGTTCTATAGAAGTCAGAAAGTTAGATCCAGGTACAGGAAGAGCTAATATCCCTCGAATGGAGGTTTTCACTTCTATATTCCCTTTCTGGGCAATTGTTTGGTGTTTAAGAGTTTAAACTATCAAATAGGTCAATTAGACTTCAGATTATTCCTGAGTGCATTCTGATTCATCACACAACTCACACTTACCAGTTATTTTACACGAATGGATAGTCTTATCATAATCTTGTACCTTTTTGACACATGTTTAGCCTTCCAAAATCATGGTTAGGATTTCAAGCCAAACAAGAAACTCATCTAATTGCATAATCTTAAAACCAGGGCCACTTTCCGGGCCCTGCAACTCAACAACAAAACGTTAAAAGGTACAAAGAAACATATGAACTAGAATTTCTGGACAAAATAAAAGCTAAAATAATAGGCTTACCTCCTTGCAAAAACGGTAAAAATGTAACCACTGATCCATATTTAATGCTCTGTACTCACTTTGGACCTGCCAAAATTAAAACCAAGCATCAAAGAACAATTGTGGAACCTATTTCAGAAAACAAATGTGTTGAGGAGCCAATTACTTAAAAGAAAAGTGAAATGGAACATGAACAGCTGCCACAGCTACATACCTTTAAATACTTAATTAATAAATCAACCTGGAGACGGTATAGGGGACCCAATACGAGATTCAGTAATTCACATACAGTCTCAATGTCTACACTCTTTTGCCTTTCTTCTGAAAATTTAACCAATTTGACACAGAGATTTCCATGAAAAAAAAAGGTTTTCACTTAATATATAGAAAAAGAAATGTCTCTCAAGACTAAGCTCACCTGTCAAGCAGTATCGAAATGCATATGCATAAAAATCTTCAAATTTGGGTGGGGTCATCAACTATCCAAAAACACAAAAAGCAAGATCAGTACCAACAAATATTTCTTCCTTTCAAATCAAGCATCATCCAGTATTATGTACCAAATCACCTCAATTACAATTCCATCACGACTCCAATAGTATCCAAAAGGAAAAGAAAGGAAGATGTGAATACCTCTTTCTCCAAACCTGGGAGTGCTTTCTTTAATTTAGAAATAGTGTCGGCATGTAGCTCTTTCAAGCCTCTTTGCCACTCATCCTAATTAGAAGACAGGAAAGAGAAACAGAAAAAGAAAAAGAAATGAGAATTAGAAGTGAACATTGATCATACTGTATTTATTTAGAGGCTAGGAACACAGGTAAAGTTAGTCTTGGGGATTTCCAAGTGCCTTGGGTAGCATTGAGAGGGCCAGCCACATGCTATCCTCATTACAGTAACCTTGAAGTAGGATCCTATTCCCGATAAAACAAATATTCCAGGGACCTTGAACAATTAGAGCAAACTCTACACACACTGAAGAATCTTTGTTAAGTTTTTGAAGTTAGTCCCTGTCCAGTTCACTTTCTTCACAGGAAAGCCACATACTGGACAAAATTCTACAGACCAGCTCAATGGAAAAGTGTATCCTGTTTCCTAACTGTTGTATTAAGTGCCTATTATAGCCAAACTGCAACTTCTGATCAGTACTTTTCTATCAAGTTGAAGTGTCAAAATAGTTTTCTGAGTCATAAGATGATCTTTCTCACAGTTAGCAACTTAGTATACAGGCTTAAACCCTACAAACCTAGTACTTTTTACGTAACTCCTTTGCCCTTCACTTAGAGTCCCAAAATTAAAATTCTTGTACTATGGATGGCTGCCTCCTTTTGTGTTAATCAGACTATCTTCTTTGTAATACCATTGTTTTTGTGTAACTCATCAGTTACATGCATATATATTACATATATATCACATCCAATGTACTAGGGCATATTGCAGAAACAAAAACATTAAATCTATTAGTAACAAGAACACCAATTGGGAAACAAGAAAACAAGAAAATCTGCTTAAACTATACAGTTCTGTCTTACCCTGGAAAAGTAGCCCTGCTTTTCAGCTTTCATTTTCCTGAATCATGCATTCAGGAACTTCAATCAGGTTATAAGATAACTAATTGAAGTATGCACACAACAACGTGTAAGCAAAAACTAATATACCAACTTACCAAGCAAGCATCAGTATTCTAACATTAGTATGGTCCACTCCCAAATCCGAACAAAGAGCCTCAATTCCTTCTGGGCTATTCAATCAAACATAAGAGTATAGGAAGGTTAACAGAATTTTAGCACTGCATACTTATTATATGGAATTGACATCACCACTTCATAAATGCATGCTTATCAAAGCACTGTACACTTACTCAATCATGTTTAATGACTGGTTTGCATACAATTCAAAAAGGCTTCCTATCCGGTCTACCACCTTTCTTGATTTACATTTACCTGAGGCTGAATAACATTAGAACACCAAATACTGCATAGTAAAAACCAAAAATATATCTTAAACTTGTCAAGCAAGGAAAAAAAAAAAAAAGCACAACAGATACAAGCAGGATCAACAGCTGACATAACATATTCAAATATAACGACCAATATGTGCAGCCTTTCTACAGGGCTAGTTCAATATCTTAAAAAGCAAAAACAATTTTTTATCTTTTATATAGAAAATTTCCACCTACAGTACAATGGCATTATTTTGTAATTACTTGAACCATATAAAATCATAGGAAAAATGGTTGAAGAAAGAAATTGTAAGATTAATTTGAATATTATTAATCCATCACCAACATGTGAGTATATTATTCCTCATAAATAAATCAAAAAAGAAATCACACCTACGGAATCTTCTATGTTTATTTAGGGCAATTGGTATCATAAAATCTTCGAAACAGTATACCAAATTCCAGAAGCCACGCAAAAGTTCTTCAAAATTGACTTTCGTCTTAAATCAACAAGTTAAGGGTGATAAAGTAATTTTGACAACTCAAACTTCAAAATCACAAAATTTCCAGATAGCTTGAAGATCATAGTTCCGCTTCTCAAAATTCAAATACACAAAACTACTGAAATTTTTAAAAGTCTAAATCAAAACAAAGCGATGCAATTGGATTATTCAGCATGAACAAGGCCAAATTATAATACAATCCAAAACATTGAAATCGAATAGTTAATGCATGCCCAATAGAATATAATCACAATAAAGAAGAAAGGAGTAGTTTTTGCTGCTCTGCTAGCTTAACCCAGCTCATAACTGCGTGCAATATTCACATAACTTCTGCGCTCTATGAAAATAAAACAAATATGTGACTTTTAATTTTTCTTCTTTTCTTTTATAGTTTTTATCGGGAACCAATCAGAATCTGAGGAAAGCAAGATACCGGCACGCGGTGGAACGACGTCGCAGGATGTGACGGAAGTCGAAGTTGATGGAGCTGCTTTTCTTTTAGAAGCGCGAGGCATTGTTTGAATTGTAAGAATCAATCAGAACCGTCGATTCTATGCTATCAAACCAATCCAGCACTGGAACTCACTAGAAAGCGAAGCTTGAAGGTTCGAATTCGGGAAAAGACGGCGATAGAGAGAGAAGAGGGGGCTCTTTTATAGTGTTTGGAATGTGGAAGACAGTGAGGCTGTGGGAGAGAGGAGGTTGCAGAATCCTGATGGGGGAAGGAGAGTGAGGTCACGCGGTGATTGGAGCGTGGAGTGTGCCTTAGGGATTTGGGGCTACTTTCGGAATTTCACACTTGGATTTCCGTGCGCGGGTTTGGGCGGTTTTGCACTGTCCCGTTACGGCACGAGTACTGTATGACAATGTCGTTTTACAGTTTACTTTACACCTTATAATTTGCTCAACACTCCCTTAATCCAAACCCAACAATTCCCATGTTTTTTTTTCTCAAATAAAACAACTGCAATATTAGATTTTTAAATAAAATACATTAATAATTGTTTAGTAAGTCAGGTTTCACAATTTATTTATTTATTTTTAATACAAGCAATATCGAAAGAAGAAAAAACCAAACTTAAAACCTCGAGTGCAAGTTTTACTATTTATAAATTCACGATAAGTGGTTAAAACATAATCGAATTTAATAGACCAAGTCCAGTTCATGGCAAGCCCTAAAAGAATGTCTCATTGGCTGTGTGCAATTTGAGAAATGGGCCTTTAGTTCGAAATTGGACGCTTCCTCAAACATGATCAGCCTCCATTGAGACTCATAATCTCGTAAGGGCCCAACAGTCCATAAAACCCATCGCTATAAACTATAAATTGCAAGACTCAGCAATAGGGTTTCCTATCGCTAGGGTTTTTGTCTGCAAGTCGCTCCTCCAGCCGAAGCTCCCACAGCGAAAATGGTAAGCTTTCTTTGACACTGGACGTGCAAATTTTAGACTCTATTCTTGTTCTCATCTCAAGGATTGAATTTGCAGCCGTCGCACAAGACCTTCAGGATCAAGAAGAAGCTGGCGAAGAAGATGAGGCAGAACCGACCCATTCCTCACTGGATCCGCATGAGGACCGACAACACCATCAGGTGAGAAACATTTGTTCTTTCACATTTCTATCTATCTTTCTGATAATCAAAATGGATTTGGTTGCTCTAATACGGCGTCGTGTTTCCTCAGGTACAATGCTAAGCGCAGGCATTGGCGCCGTACCAAGCTCGGGTTTTGAGGTGGATGACACTCGTAACTTGGCATTTTGTTTAAGATTTTATTTGGCAAAAAACAGTTGGAAACTTTTATGTTATAATCAATTGCGAATCTATATGGAGTCCCTTAGCAGAGATTGATATTTGGTTTGTAGTTTATTTGTATTTCAAGTAATGGGTTGGACCAATTTTTGAATTTAGACGAGTTTATCATGTTTCTCAATGGCTTCTTTTTGCCCTTTTATTTTTTGTGATTGACATGCTTAAGCCGTAACATATTACTATTACCTATCTAACGAAAAGCGTATTGAATTTGTTTGGATGACTGTGATTTGGTCTAATGTATTGCCTCACTTTTCGTATGAGGTGCTAGACGTTTTGTTTCCTAATCATTGTGATTGATGCGGAACCTTTTAGCAACTGCTTCAGCCTTGATTTTGCAATTTATGATGCTGGTTGTGCTGATGAGTATGCTGTTAGGGTGTTCTGGTTAGTTTATGTAGTTATTTAGACACATTGCGTAGATTGTTATGTGGAACCCTAAATTGTGTAGATGGTTATGTACGTGTTTGGACACATTGCACAGATTGTTATGTTTAACTAGGGGTCTAATTTTGTCGATGGTTACATAGGTATCAAGACACATTGCGTAGATTGTTATGTGGAACCAGGGGAATTTTTTTGTTGCTGTTGAAACCAGGGGAATCAAAATGAGAAGGATGTTCCTTTTCTTTCGTGTACCTTGTATTTCACTTTACATATGGAAATGTAAGGCATACGTTAGAGGAAACATCTGGATGGATTTGTTGGGATTTTAAGGTGAGAGCAGGTGAGATTGACGTAGTAATCGCGTTAAACATGACTTTAGGTTTACTTAATGCTTGCTTAAGTGAGTGAGTAAAATGCATAGGCTATGATCGGTAAAGAGAGGGATGGGGGTAGAAGTGTCTTGGAGAGCTTATGGGAGTGGGATAGATAGTTGAAGTGCTGCTGCTGCTGCTGGCCTTAGAATGCTTTTGGAGGCATGTGGTCGGTCTTGGTTTTACTCAAATCTCTCTTTTTATCTTTTAGTGATGAGGCGAGCTACTGGAGTTCCGATTTCATGTTTTTTTAATTAGGTTTTTATGTTCTGAATAAAATCGTGTCCAGTTGAAGATGATCCAAGGAAAATAGGCATTGACTTTGAGTTAAGTTGATGACTGCAACTCTAGATTGGGATCGATGTATTCATTTTTCTTAGGCAAAAAGTCACTTTTGATTCTTGTGGTTTATCACTTTTACCATTAAGATCCTTGTGGTTTCGATTTGAACATTCTCGTCCTTGCGATTTCAATTTCAAGCAACTCAAGGACAACTCTCAATTTCTGTCAATTTTTTTAACTTCTGTTACTAGTGAATGGGCAATTCTGTCAAATTATTAAAAAATTCATTCCTTTTTAAAATAACAAATACAAAATGAAATTGTTTAAATAATAAATAACAAAAATTCATCCTTTTCAACTCCCGCTGCCTCCCCCTCCTACCATAACCACCATCTAACAAGTCACTGCCCAATATCACCCACCTAGCAACCAACCTTTACCACCCTCCCACCACAAAATTTCTCAAGACCCACCTATATCTCTGTCTCTGTCTCTCTGTCTCAAGTCCAGTCCAAACAATTGAGTGCAAGCAAAAGACCACATTGCTCATAATTTATTACAATATGGCCAATAGATCTACAAAAAATAAAAAAATTGCTCCAACCCAACCCACCCACCAAGAACTACTCCTATTTCAACTTTATTTTCACTTATTATGGCTTATTTGATGGTGTTTTTGAGAAACCGAACTTGAAATTGGGAAGGGTAAAATCTATAGCTCTCTCCAAGTTATTAAAATTCGATTGATGAACAAAGCGATATATTGGAGAATATCTAGTTTTAGTTATGGTGGAGGTGGAGGGATGATTAGCGGGCAGTGGTGGGGTGAGGTGCAGGGCCAAATCGGAGAGAGATTAGGGTGCTATCAGGTGGTGGAGAAATGAAGAGGGAGAGATGCAGCAGAGAGTGACGAAGGCTTCTAGGGAGGGGAGAAGAAGATATATTTTTTATTTATTAATTTTTCCATTTTGTATTGTTTAATTTAAAAAGAATTAAATTTTTAATAACTTGTTGACTAAATTACCCCTCCACAAGTAACAGAAGTTAAAAGAATTTGATAGAAACTGAGGATTGTACTTAAATTGCTTCAAATTGAAACCTCATGGACATAAATGTTCAAATAAAAACTACAGAGACTTTAGTGATAAAAGTGATAAACTATAGGGACCAAAATTGACTTTTTACATTTTTCTTATAACCGAGGTGATCCTATACGTGTAGTTTACTTGATCCTACTGTTTATAAGGCATGTTTATTGGGAGGCTAATATGAAATGAGAAAATACAGCGCATCCAGATCCTCTTCGAATTAATTGATAGAGTCTAATAGAGAAAAGCTAGGCAATGAGAATGAGACGTGCTCCTTTGAAAGAGGAAAGATATATTGGGAGAAATGGATGAAAGAAATTGTAAATGTCCAAATGTCCACGTCCACCTAGGAGAATTTTTGTTAGTTTTATTCTCCATCTTTCGTAATAAACAGAACTAAACAAATCCGTTACATGCGCAGAACACAGCAGTCAGTCTCCCCAATTGAGTGGACAATACTGATGGGCATGTTATTCTAGTGAAAAGACAAGCCTCCATTCCAAATATGAAATATGCATGCAATGTCTCAAAGCAAAATATGGCTGCCCCGCGTAGTTTGGACGGCCACAAAAGACTCTAACAAACATATCCCAGGATGCCGAAGTGGCAAAACAACATGCAACAACAGCACAGCAATCCACGGACTACCCTCCATTGTCTCCCTCTCGCCCTTGCTATAAAAGCAGGGTCGACTCAAGGGGCAGAACTAGGCCAACAGGAAAACGCAGAGTTAGGCTGTCGACAAATCTTATTCTACTTTCTTTTAGTAAGTTTCTCCTCATCCTCTCTGTCTCTTCGGAAGCCTATGGCCGACGAGGAGGCCTAGAGGCTGAGCACTCCTTGTGGCGGTACAGAAACAGACAAGGCTAGAAGACAAAGCTTTAAGACACCAAGAGACTTCAGAGCCTAGGACGGTGTTGCTGTCATCTAGCTACATCATGGCCGACATCTCATTAGAAGATGTCAAGAATGAGAACGTTGACCTTGTAAGTCCAGGATGTTGAGATTTGAGTCTGCATGTGTCAAGTTTTCTTCTGATGGTATGAAGCAAATGTGATTGATGTGTGTGTGTGTGTTTATGTAGGAGCGAATCCCCGTCGAGGAAGTGTTCGAACAGCTGAAATGCACGAAAAGGGGTTTGACATCAGAGGAGGGCCAGAAGCGGCTGCAGATCTTTGGCCCAAACAAGCTTGAGGAGAAAAAAGAGAACAAGATCCTCAAGTTCCTGGGATTTATGTGGAATCCTCTATCGTGGGTCATGGAGTGTGCTGCTATCATGGCCCTGGTTTTGGCTAATGGAGGGGTAATATCATCATTAATTCCATGATATTATAAGATTCATAACACAAATTCACAAATTAATTCAATTAAACACACCCTCACCCATCTCTCATGATCATGTACTTATTAACAAGAATATTCTGAACAATGCAGGGCAAGCCAACGGACTGGCCGGACTTCGTCGGTATTATGGTGTTGTTGATCATCAACTCAACCATCAGCTTCATCGAAGAAAACAATGCTGGTAATGCCGCAGCAGCTCTGATGGCTAGTCTAGCCCCCAAGACCAAGGTGCAATTGATATTAATTTCCTCATCCGTATTCATTCTAGCAGCTCCATATTATTTATTAATACTATAGCTACCAAAGATATCGATATAGATAAGTGAAGTGCTTAATTATAACTGCATGTAGGTCTTGAGGGATGGAAAGTGGGGAGAACAAGAGGCAGAAATCCTGGTACCAGGAGATGTGATCAGCATCAAGTTGGGAGATATCGTCCCAGCTGATGCTCGTCTGCTGGAAGGAGATCCTCTCAAGATTGACCAGGCTGCCCTCACCGGTGAGTCCCTGCCCGTTACCAAGAACCCAGGAGATGAGGTATTCTCTGGCTCTACTTGCAAACAGGGTGAGATCGAAGCTGTTGTTATCGCAACTGGTGTCCATACCTTCTTTGGCAAGGCTGCCCACCTTGTGGATAGCACCAACCAAGTTGGACACTTCCAAAAGGTTCGCATTCTTTGTCGGCAGTCACCGAATTTATGTAAAGTATCGTTTGATTCAGTTTTGAGTCCTTCAGTTCAAGACATTTACTACTTTGGTGTTGTCTTGACAGGTGTTGACATCCATTGGTAACTTCTGTATATGCTCCATTGCTGTGGGAATGGCGATTGAGATTGTGGTGATGTACCCAATTCAGCACAGGGCATACAGAGATGGTATTGACAATCTGTTGGTGCTTCTGATAGGAGGTATCCCCATTGCCATGCCAACAGTCTTGTCCGTGACCATGGCTATTGGGTCTCACCGCCTGTCACAGCAAGGTGCCATCACCAAGAGGATGACAGCCATTGAAGAGATGGCAGGGATGGATGTCCTTTGCAGTGATAAGACCGGTACCCTTACACTCAACAAGCTTTCAGTTGACAAGAGTCTGATTGAGGTCAGAGATTTAAGATAATATATGTTGATTGTTTGCTTATGGTCCTCTTTTTGTGATTAATACTTATTCTGGGTGTGATTACAATTGCAGGTGTTTCCGAAGGACATGGATAAGGACACCGTGATCTTGCTCTCTGCCAGGGCTTCCAGGGTTGAAAATCAGGATGCCATTGATGCTTCAATTGTTGGGATGTTGGGCGACCCCAAGGAGGTACACAATTCAATCCTTGTCTGCAATCACCATTGAATTTTTTTCTACTCCTCATCTTCCAACGTGTGGTCATCGAAGCAACTTAGCTTTATTATGCTTTAATGGTGTTTTTGTAGGCAAGAGCAGGAATCACTGAGGTGCATTTCCTGCCCTTCAATCCTGTGGACAAGCGCACAGCAATCACCTACGTTGATAGCAATGGCGACTGGCACCGGTGCAGCAAGGGTGCTCCTGAGCAAGTAAGATAGTCTTCTTGTACCAATATAGAGCGCATATAATTTCTGACATAAGTATATATACCCCCTAGCTCACTTTTT